AATGATAATACGTTGGACTTATCTTTTAATGCTTCCTTGAACACATTATATAAAATAGTTGGCTATATGCCGCTTGATGGCGGCGATGAAGTAAAACTTGTATTTCATTTCGGCCAGTCTCACACAATGCTTCAACTCATGAAATATCATAATCAGACACTATTTTTCGAGCATAGCTTTTTCGCCTCGACAACAGGATTTCAAACAATTTCGATCGAAAAGCGCTATTCAAATACAAATTATTTTGCTTTGAACATGACGTTATGTGTGTGCGTAGAAGAGTTTGAAAGCAATAATGGAGCAATCACACTCAAACCGATTTCAAGGGAAATAATGGAAGTACGATTGATTGTAAAAGATACAGAAAGTCCTATAAGTAAGGTATATGCAATTGTGTGTTTAACAAAACTTTAAATCACATTTTGTTATAATTTAAATCATTGATAGGTAATATAAATTTTTTTCTTTTTAGTCCTTTAAACATGATTAAAAAACCCGGACATGAGTAAGTTTATACTTGGAGATAACTAAAGATTTTAGTTGCATATATGTAATAACATAAGTAAAAGAGAGGTATTTAATAATTTGATTATGCTTTACATTTTTTTTTTTAAATAACTGGTGTATTTGACATAGGTTCAAATAGGAGCAGGAACTACACCTAGAGGATTTCAAGTTAAATCTCTTTCACGAGTTCATCATCTAAATCATAACCATCTAATTCAAACCAACGTTCAACATGGAACCAACGTTTATGTCACAGCAATTGTTGAGAATAAGGCAGGGTTGAGGACAGTGGTCCAGTCAAAGCCTATTACCATTGATCACACCAAACCTGTTGTAAAACATTTGAACGCGAATCTTCGATATGTGCAAGAAAATGAATCTGGTGTCGTTGACATCAGAGCAGCTGTACATGCGTCATGGGAAATTGTTGATGACGAAAGTGGAATAAGCATCTGCTATTGCTCAATAGGTTGTACATTAGATATCATGTTTAACCTATTTCTTTACAGAACATATTTTCTGATGTAGATGATAATATTTGAATAAATTTTTACACTACGTTTCGAATAAGCATCTGCTATTGCTCAATAGATTGTACATTAGATATCATTTTTAACCTGTTCCTTTACAAAATATATTTTCTGATGTAGATGATAATATTTGAATAAATCTTTACACAACGTTTCAAAGGTAACCTTTTACACTTTTTGTCTGTTACACTAACGTAGAAACCATTAATTTTCATTCTAAACATTTTTTCTCAACATCCCCTGTGTGATATACTATGCTCACTATGGTAGTCAGTAACTGCAAGAGTTGTTATTTTCAATCAAATGGTTATTTTCAATGGAACGCTTTCTGTGTGAATTTAAATTTCAGGTCAAAGGCCAGGTTTACACGATATTAGTTCAATATGGATTGCAGAAAACAAAACATCGTGCGAATCTAATAGACAGATCTTCACACATGGCCAAACTGTATTCCTTAACCTGAAGTGTTTCAATGAAATTGGGCTTTCAACCGAAGATGTGGCAGGGCCACTAGTTGTTTCACTTCAACAATCCAAAACATCTAGCGCAGAATTGGTGTTTATACCACAAAATGAGGGGAGTAATGGAAATATTATCCGCCAAAGGTCAATTTGGCAGGTACAATCCAACAACACATGTCTTGTGTTTAAATGGGGTGGTTTCTCAGATTTGTCTGGTATTGTGTATTACGAATACCGTGTATACCAAAATGAACACAATGTTCTTAAAGAATGGGAAAAGACTGAAAAGGACATGGCAAAGGTGGAAAATATTGGTTTACGAAATGGAGAAGTCATTGCAGAGGTCAGAGCTATTAACATAGGTTCCTTTATTAGTCACTCCGTAAATGCATCACTTCTTGTTGCAAGGTATCCTCCAACAGTTACAGGTAATTTTATTGTAAATAGTATTAACTTGGGTATTGAGCGTGTTTAAAACATATTTAGATGAAATTAAAATTTTACGTTTTCATCTTAACAATACAAAATATTAATTTTATCTGTAATAAACGTTTCATAAATTCTTGAAAGGTTACATTTAAATTTAATTTCAAGCATAAAGATTTTAATTTAAAAGCATTTTAATGTTTATATTGGTATATATTTAAAGGTTTTTCAGCGAATTTTACAAGGCAAGGTGAAAAGCTGCATTTAAGTTGGGCTGACGTTTTTGATACAGTACCTGGTATTCCATTTTCATTCAGTCTTACAATAGGTACAAGAAAAGGTTATACAGATATTCTCGACATAAATTATATCGGCGATGATAACATTGATGTCTCCATCCCTAAATCTACGATCATAACACCTACAGTGAAGGAAGTCTTTCTATCGATCGACTGCATCTACGAGACTGGATTGCAAGCTACCTATAATACAAGTTACAAGCTAGATTAGCATTTTAGAATATTAACAAAAACAAAAACAACACAAAAACAATATATATAAATATTATCTTATTGAATTTTTTCTCTCTTTTAGCTTTTGCTTATTCATTCTTACCATTTATTTTTAACTTCATGATTTAATTTGTGTGATTTGATATTATAACAGTATGCCATTTCTTATATGATATCTCTGTATTTATCTCTTGTTTCAACTTGTACTTATTGGATCTTTTTTTCTTTTTTGTGTATAGATGGATCATATAACCTGTCCAATTATATAAAAGAACGGACAGATTGAGGCAATGTGCACCGATATTAGGTTATTTTTCACACATTATGGACCGTTTGAGTATTTTCACTAATTGAAAACATAGATTTTATTAGCTTTATAATTCACAGCTAAATTTCTTGTTGTATATATTATGCAAATCAATGAAAAAAACATGCCTTCATTGTAAACGTTTTGGACGAGAAAAAGGAGAGTTTATTTAATCATGTTATTTGATACTTTCGTTCATATCATGCATACATTGTCAGACAAATTATATATTACTTTTTGCTTAAATGATTACAAAATTTATCGGAAATTTATATCAGCAGTGTGATTGTTTTTATCATTTTTATTATTAATTAATATAATTTAACCAGCACATTACTTCTTTATTTCATTAAACTTAATAATATGCAAAACAACTTTTTTAATAGAATAAAATAGATACAAGTCTCTCGCGACAGTTAATCAAAAGGGAAGATGATCCAATTGATTGGACAGCAAAACCGTCAAACCTGTTGCAGTGGCCATTTGCTCTTTTGTTTATTCATTTTTTTATTTGTTAGTTATATTGTATCAAAAGCCTTAGTGTTGATTGTTGTACCTTTGAAAGATATTTTTCAGAATATATTCTTAAGCACAAGAAACTTTTATGTGAATGTTTGATAAAGTATGGTTGATAATGTCAAAGTAAAGATCATACTTTTCGGTTTGTTGATATTTAGACTTAAGTTTTTATTATTCAAGATATCGAGTTATTCACTTTTTTATAATTGAATAGTTTGAAATATGTTCTTGGGTATCATGCACACTTAAACATCACTCTAAGTATGATATATTTTCAAAAATTGTATAAATTGATGCAATTATCAAACATGAGTTCTTTTATTATAACAGTCAGTTTGCTAACAATGAAAGTAATTATACAAATATAGGCGGGTCAAATTACAGTCTTCATCCGCTAGATAACTCTTGATGAAGCGTACACATGTGTGTCGTTTATTTTGTTTTTGTATATTTAAATTACACCTATAGTATGTTTTACACTATGAGAAGCAGCATTTGTCCACACGTCCTCTTTTGATATAAAAATGATAGAAAGGTATCCAATATAAAATATAATCTGTAAATATAATAAACACAATTCAATGAACAGATAACTAAAGGGTGACTGCATAAACATGATAATAGAACATAAGGAACAATTTGATGGCACACTGAACCATTGAACAGTTATTTTTGAAGTATTTAAAAAAGCATATAATTAAATGCAATTAAAACATAGTAAGATTCTTATAAATAATAACCGTTTCAAATGGTATTGCGTACAGGGCAATTATTTTCACTTTATACGCGTTTGCTTCTCGCTCCTTCCAATCTCTGAAAGAAACATCTATAACAAACACGTGCACTGCGATAATGTTTATCTATAATATGTAGTGATAGCTTTGCCCTTCATGTTATAGCATCCTTAATTTTCATGTCTATATTAATGTTTATTACAAGTATTGTTTATAACATGCTTTTCAGTGGTTTATAGAAATATATCAGTGAAATAAAAAACTGATAAGTTGACTGTTTCAAAAAATGAAATTATCAATTTGATTATTTCACTGTTTTGACTTTAAGCCCGTTACGTTCTTTCAGTGAAATACCAGCGTACACAGTACTGGAAACCAATTTAATGGCGTGACGTCATAAATGACGTAAAATGAGGCCACGTTTTATTATTATTTGGCGCGTTTTTCATTTGGTATTAGGTAAAAATGACTTTTTAAAGGTTTCTCTGCATATAATAAAAAGAAAATGTGTTTAGTTCATTGAAAGATCGGATATATTTCACCTCGTGGACACCAAAAGTTCATATTTCACTCGTGGCTGCTCCACTCGTGAAATATACCTTTTGGTGCTCACTCGGTGAAATATATTCCGATCTTACACTGAACTAAACAAATATCCTCTATATAATCAGAAAGGAATAAATGCGCCACTCGTGAAATATACCTTTTGATGCTCACTCGATGAAATATATTCCGATCTTACACTGAACTAAACAAATATCCATTTATAATCAGAAAGAAATAAAAAATAGCAAATATATGTTTTTCACGTCGATATATTGATGTATACTTCATTCATTATATAATCAAAAACGAATAAAAATTGAAGAAAAATAACAACACTTGTTATTGTTATATATAAAATACATAAAATCTTATTTCCTGCAACACAGAGCCCTACAAATAACACGAGACATTTATTATATATTCTTATAAACAATAAAGCATTTCCAATGTATTTTGAATGACATTAGTGTATTGATACTTGTATAAACAAAGTCCTATCAGTTATACAAGTTGCTTGTATAACGAGTTAATAATAATGCAAATTATTATTGATAAAAGTTAAAACATAAAGCAACTTAAGACTTTCATTAAAATGGTGTAGAAAGAAGATGACGCCTGGCATTCAACGGCTATGCGAACGCTTTAAGTAAATTGTATGAATTTTGAAAGATAAAGGTGGATCAGTTCAACATGTACGTCTCCAATTTTCAAAAGAGTTAGCTCCTTTGCATTACAATAATCGAACATACCAACTTAAATAATGCAAGAAGTCAAAATCATTTAATATAACCTAGTCATGTGTTTGTTGTTACAGGTTTTATGTGTTGCTAATTGGACATTAATTCAATTTAAACTAAACAAGATTGATTAAAGTGTTTTTTTTGGTTTCTATATATTTTACCGCTATGAGGGATTGCTTGGGCTTCATTCGATGAAATGGGTGGTACAAAAATATAATATGAATGATCATGATGATATGATAAGTATGTCGTTGGATCACATGCATATCAACAATCTGACTGTAACGGTTTAACTGTTCATACAATATTCTTTTTGTTGGGTTGATCTGCCCGAATCACATTAATTAACATTACAATGTAAATTTGTAATACCGGTCAAAATCACTATTTACATTTGAAAAGCTCATTTAAACATACATATATACCGCCGTTTAATAAAAAAAACTTGCATGCAAAATAACATTTATAGACTGAAGTGGCGACTGCGACTTTCGGGGAACTCTCAGGTGCCCTTTTGTACATTATTTTAGGCACGAACAGGCAGCTGAGTAGAACCAGCGATGTTCCGTAAGCTACCCAGATAGCTTCTTCAAATAAAAAAAATTCAAACTCCCTGTTGGTATTCGAACCTACTGCGGTAAAGGCCGATGGTTTGAAGTCAACGACCTGAACCACTTGTTTAAATTATATTTATATATTATATCGAATTTTATACATAATTATAAATGTAGTTCAATGAGGTCTGAAAAAGTACAAAACGATTGTCACGTGATGTAATTTTAATTGATTGGAAACTAACATGGCAGACTTTCCAAAACAAAACAGTCGTCGCCTGAGCACTTCTTATTCCAAGGCGTCTAAAAAAATATAAATGGAAAGGAAACACATTTATAATCCCTCAATAATTTATTTCGGACATAAACTGAATTGAAATTTCAAAACAATCTGCAGAGAAACAAATTATGAAAACTCATATATTTTCAGCTTATAAAAGCAAACATGTTTATTAACATGGGAAATATTTTGGAACATGGAGGGTTCGCATTGTCTTTTTAAAAATCTAAGTGATTACGGGTAGATCGAGGATCACAGAAGTAATGGAAAGGTGATTTGAAGCCCTTTTGAAAGTTGTTATTTGTTTCATTGCAACATAACATGTGGTGATTAAATATACTTGTGGAAGTACAAAAACCGTTGAAACTTAAAAGGTGTCAGTCATGTAAAAAGACGTAATGTACAACACACAAACTAACTTTTTAAGAATTAGCTTTAAAATTTGAGTATTTTTATATAAAATTGTAAATAGCAAGACGCATATTCATAGCTATATTCGTGTTAATTGAAAATTCTTCAAACATTTGTCAAACAGTTTCCTTATAATTATTTTGATCTACAAACCAAAGTTGTAGATGCGCTGATGAATAAATAGTTTAAATACTATTTTGTTCTTTGCATGATCTTGGAAAGAGAAACAGAACATTGTAATCAATAGCAGAAAAACGTTTCTTTGTTGTTGTTGGTTTGTTTGTTTGTATTCAGATTATGTTTCAAGAAGCAATTCAAACAATGACAAATATACGAAAAATATATTTGTAACAGAAATAATATAAATCAATAATGATTGTGTTATCAATACACTGCGCCTAAATATTGCAGAAACTAATGATTCAATGCTTTAGGAATTGTAACTAATCCGGGGGAACAAATTAATAATGAGACAGTCTTGCAAAACAAAGATATAATATGGCAACACCGATTAACAATTAAAATAATAATTCATACTTCTTTGTATGTTTTTCGCATTGATTTTTAATTATAGTGACATTGACCTTGACACAACATGACCCAAAAGCAATCCCGGTCAAGGTCTAAATCACCGATTTAGATATATTATTTCGATTCCAACACGACATCAACAAATAAATGCTGCCATACGTGATATTAAGCTAAATTGCGCCTGATTTGTTTCCGTACTTATTTTTGGCGCGTCGCATTTTTAGTTGTTACGTCACATGTATCATAATAACGTCTAAATATAGAACGTCAACAGTGATTTTATTGCATAATAACACACACTTTCAGTGCTTCTATATTCAATATAGATAAATGCGGTTCGTGTTAGAATGCGGAAAATAGTATGGTACACACCCCTGCCTTGACTATCTGATGATGTTTTGCCGCTTCATATACCTCTTTCATCACGACCTACTGCATATTTGATTCCCCGTCATTTGAGCATCTACTAATATTTAAAACCTCTGTTCTCAAATCAATAACTTAAGGTGTACACATATTACATAATGACTGAAATTATTGAAAAGGGTGACTTTTCTCTAAACTGAATCATTTATTCATTAGGCTGAGTTCAAACACATGGAGTTTCTTTTTTATTTTGGTTTGGGTTTTTCGTCGCACCGACACAGCATAAGCAAAATGGCGATTTTCCATCTTTACTTGTGGAAGAAGACCTCAGGTGCCCTTCCGTGCAATATTCTACACATTGAGTTACAAAGCACGTTGAATGATTGTTAAGTTATTTGCTCTATCTTGTTTAATTTACTGACCAATTGTAATATATTACTATGATAAAGTATTACCAACACGATGCACTGATGGACATTTGGGTTAAAACAATTTTTAAGTGATAGTTTAGTTACCGTTTAAGTCGGTGCTAGAGGGTGTGAAGTATGTTTCACTGATCTGTTTTCCTTTATGAACATTATCAATGAAACCGAGTCTGCAATTTTATGATTTTTTTTGTATTAATTGATTCCGAGGGAACATCCCTTTTCCAAAATTTAAATATTAATGTATATAAAAAATGCCGTTGTGTTATAAATTGATTATTTGATAATGTTTTGTTAAGAATGTCTGCTAAACAATATTTTTAAGAATATCATATCATGAGATAAAAATACTTTATATGACGACACACTCTTCATAAACCATTGAATTATACGTTGTTTGATAGTGAACACGTGCATGGTTATATTATATCACTTATATAAATTGTTTCTAGATAAAATGTATATTTCCGCCATATTAATATGTTAAAGTGCCACATCGAACTATGGCATTCTTGTAAACTTATGTTATTAATGCACATACCACACCGGATAAAGAATGAAAAATAACCAGTGCCGTCAATTATTTCAGCTGCAGATCTCTGCACGACCGGTTGTCATGTCTGTGTG